GGAGGAGGAGACTGGATTTATACCCTGCCCTTCACTTGGAGTCTCAGAGCAGCTTACAAACTTCTTTTCCTTCCCCTCCCCACAACTGACACCCTGTGATGTAGGTGGGGCTGAGAGCTCTTTCAAGGACTGCTCTTTCAAGAACAGCTTTGACAGAACTATGGCTTGCCCAAGGTCATCCAGCACTGCAGCTACAAGTGGAGGAGTGGGGAATCAATCCCGGCTCTCCCAGATTAGAGTCTGTGTACTTAACCACTTATGCCAACTGTGCTTAAAATTTGCCCAGGCCTGGTGCTTTGTCACCTGATGACATCAGCTGAAGGGGAAAGGAGAAGGTGGGGGGGGGAATCAACAAAGGCTTTTTAATGACTCTGGCTCCGGGATGCATAAATCCAATTAATCTTTTATTTTTCAACAGTGCTTGCTTCAGGATATGTACTTATGTGAAACAAAGAATCCATTTCAGCCAGGCAGGGAACAGTGTTCTGCAGCTCTCTTTGGTGACATCAAAAGTGGTGGTAGAGAGAGATGACATTTTGACAGCTCATGGGAGCTGGTGTAGTATATAGTGGCTTAGAGAGAGAACGAGAGAGCTGTGATCCATGAGTTTGCACATTTAAATCTGATTTTTATCAGAAAACTCAGTAGGCGGCCTGAGGCATTCCGTTCTGTCTCAGCCTTGTCTGCAATACAAGGAATGGGAATACTGGCTTGTCTTATAGTGCTATTGTAAGGATCACACAAGATAATGCACACGAAACATTTTGATCACTAAAAGCACTAGCACAAATGCTAAGTAGTACCAAGCTTGTTGCATTTCAGCAGCACTTACCCAGGGTGTGTGTGTGGGGGTCTCTCTATCTGCCCCTATCTTGTTCAAAACAGCTGTTTCTTCATAACTTGCCCTCTCCCCTCAGTTCCAGGATCCATCTTCTCCAAGCTCTGATGGTTCTTGAAACTCATAGCATCACATTTAAGGTATCTTTGTCACTCATGTTAATAACATCCACCCATTTGCCATTTTGTGGAGGAGGCCATGGCTCTGTGGTAGAGCATCTACTTGGCAGACAGAAGGTCTCAGTTACAGTCCTTGACATCTCCAATGGAAACTATCACAGAATCATAAAGGTGGAAGGAACCTCCAGGGTCGTCTAGTCCAACCCCCTGTACAATGCAGGAAATTCACAACTACCTCCCCCACAACACCCCCAGTGACCCCTACTCCGTGCCTAGAAGATGGTAAAAACAAAACAAACAAACAAAAAAAACCTCTACGATCCCTGGCCAAACTAGTCTGGAGAAAATTGCTTCCTGACCCCAAAGTGACAATCAGCATTTCCCTCAGCATGTAAGAAAGGGCCACAAGAACTAAGCACTGATGCTACCCTCCCTGCCCTCCCTCTCACAATCTGCCTACGTTCACAGAATCAGCATTGTTCTCAGATGGCCATCTAGCCCCTGCTTAAAAACCTCCAAAGAAGGAGAGGCCACCACCTCCTGAGGAAGCGTGTTCCACTGAGGAACTGCTCTAACTGTCAGGTTAGCTGATCAGGTAGCAGGTGACATAAAAGACTTCATCCTAAAATATTTTTTAAAAATGGACTGCTGGTGTGTAATGACTTGGTTGGATGGACTGACATTTGTTTTTGTTTTTTTAAGCCCCCGGAGGGGATTTTTTATTGCATTTTTTTATAACACTACAAAACTACAACAGAAAAAAGGGAGGGGGAACTACATTTATAGGATAAAGAAAGATACCCACTACTGACTAAAAACCCAAGAGAAGAGATCATCCCACCAGTTTAACTATACATTTAGTTTTAATCCCGTTAATCTTACTATCAACTGAGTCAAGTCTAACATTATCTTTTTCAGATCTTAAATTCAACTGTTATACAGAAACACCCCAAAGCATCTCACTTCAACCCTTTTAAAAGGCACAATTCAGAGTCCTTCAGCCTTTACTTCTCCTTGCCTAGTCTCTTCCGAAGCTTATAAGGACTTTCAGGGGCTGAAAGAGAGTCGTCCCCGGAGGAGTCCGGGTCCAGCTCGCCATTGGACTTACTGTCCTCCCCTTTTTCTCCTTCCTTCCCTGGCCCTCCCATCTGGACTCCTAGAAATTCCCGTGCTTTCTGGACAGAGTCAATCTTTTCTTTTTTATCCTTAATTTTGAAGGTTACGCCTTCTGGAGTTAACTATCTATATCCAATTGCATTTGTCTGTAGAAAAAGAATTAATTCTTTATATTTCTTTCTCCTTTGTCTTATTTCAAATGGAATGTCTTTCAACATTCTGATGGTATTCTCCCCCACTTTCAGGGGTGCTCCAGATACTGCTTTCAGGATTGTATCCCTCACATACCTCTTCAAGAATCTTACCACAATTTCCCCAGGCAGATTATTTTTCTTGATATATCCTGAATATGACCTATAGGACACATCCATTTTGTTTAACAAAAATTATTTTATTTATGTATTTATTTTCTTTATTTTGCGACTTGTATCCCGCCCTACACATAGTGTCTCAGGGCGGCTAACAAATAGGTTTTAAAAATATATAGGACAATAAAACAATGTTACATCACATATTAAAAATGGTGCTGCAATAATTTACTTAAAATAACCAAGATGCGCAACAAATCGCAATGGTATCTGACACTGGGGCCAATACTTCACTCATAGTTCCTTAAGATTCTCTCCCTTTGTCTCTGGCAAGCCCTGGAAGCGAAGGATCATATTAGCCTTTTCCATTTGTAATTGTAGCAGTTGATTCATCAGTGGCTATTAGCCACAAGGTATAGATAGGGACTCTGGGGCAATTGATGCTCTGTCATCTTGGTGCTTGCGGGGGTCAAGAGTGGGAGGGCTTCTAATGTCCTGGCCCCACTGGTGGACCTCCTGATGGCACTGGTATTTCTGGCCACTGTGTGATACAGAATGTTGGACTGGATGGGCCTTTGACCTGATCCAACATTGGCATCTCTTATGTTCTTATGATCTTCCATAGAAACTTGCTTCTTTTCCAGCTTTTGAACTTTCTTTTTCACCTTTTGTGCAGTGGCGTCCACTTCTTTCACCTTTTCAGCCGTTTCATTCATCATTTTCAATGTCTCGGTTATCTGTGTCTGCTGTGTGTTGATGCACTGAGTCATTTTCGACATCTGATCCTTGAGGTTACTCATTTGGTCCAGTAGAGGGTGCATGGATTCTGGCAAAGTCTTTGCTAGCTCGCTCGCTCCTTCCGGTTTAGGGCTCTTCGTTAGTTTTGCTTTTGAAAGTTTCTTTTTCTATGTCCTCTTCCCCGCCATCTTTCTCAGTTGTTTACTTTGGAAAATATTTTGAAAGTCTCTGAATATGCGCGCAAACGCCTGAACTCACCTTGGTAAGTATTTCTTAACAGTTATGCATGCCTTTTCTTCTACTCCCCCCCCCTCGATTCGCTCAAAAGTTCATGCAGTTAGGAGGCGTCCCTCCCCCACCCGCTTCACTCTCCGTTTTCCATATGGGGTAGGGAGATTTCTTTTTTTCTTTAACCGTCATTTTGCTCAGTCAGACTCACGTTCATATCTGGTCTTCCGACCCTGCTTTACTTCATTTCATCCGCTCGATCTCCTACGCTTGCTCCGGTCAGCATCACTAGGTCCCATTCGGGCACTGCGCAGGAAGGACCATTGGGACGGAGGAGCGCCTCAATTCACCCACAACATGTAGGCGAAGAGGCGACTCCTCATAAGTCCCCTGGCTAGGAGCCTTCCGCCAGGCTCCCTGGGGGGGGGGGTAACGGGCCAGCACTCCCCCTCCTCCCCGCCGTGCACAGACCGCATCCCCGGGACGTCCGGGAGATGCGACTGTCTAGCGTGCCGCCATCAACTGGACTGGATGGACTGACATTTGGTAGATTACAAACTTGAGTTTTGCAAGGAATCATGAGAGGGTGGAACAGTTTGGTCAATGCCCTTCCTGTATCTAACCTCCAGGACTTGAGCAGGCTAATTCCCCCTCCTCCCTTTCCCTTTGTCAGGCTCTCAACATTTTGTGCTTCCTACAGCATGCAGGAGTCTTATTCGGTCTCTTGCTCCTCCCCTTCTTTTGGGATGATTTCCAGAATCACCTTTTTAACATGCTTAGTGTACTCACCCAGTAAGTTGATCCCCTTACCTTGTCGATGCGTAGCTTTGTTTTGCTGATTGCATGATCCGAATAGGAACAAAACACTTCATTATCAGAAAGAATAATTCTTCTGGCACATCTGTGGTGTTATGGATTGTTGGTTGCCTGGAACACCTTTTTATTTTATTTATTTGTTAGATCAATACCCTGCTTTTCTTTTCAGCACATTCAAGATTGCCATCAGAATTCCATGCCATAAAATTGTTACAACTGATGTAATAATGTAAGACATAAGCATAGTCTTAAGGAAGAAGGTGTTTGGTGGAAAACCTGGAGGAAATGGCTGTGGCATATTTGTTTACCATTGTTAATTAAAGGCTTTCCCATAATGTTGGAAAACAGAGGGACAGTTTCAGTAGTCCCCCCTTCAGCTGTTGAACATAAGAAGAGCTCTGCTGGCTCAGACCAGTGGCCCATGTAGACCAGAATCCTGTCTCACACAGTGGCCAGCCAGTACCCCTGGAGGGCCAACAACAGGGCATAGAAGTCAAGACCTTCCTCTGATATTGCCTCCTGGCACTGGGATTTAGAGGTTTACTGCCTCTGAACGTGGACGTTTTCTTTAGTTACCATGACTAGTAGCCACTGATTTACCTCTCATCTATGAACCTGTCTACTCCCCTTCTAATGCCATCTATGCATGTGGACATCACTACATCCTCTGGCAGCAAATTGTTGACAATTAGGCATCTTCTATAGCAGCAGTAGTGTAGAAATGAGGAGGGGGAGGATCCTCTATCCGTGGCATTTACAGACAAAAGGGTGGAATGTGCAGATTGTAAATTATGATGAATAAGATTCAGGTGCTCCTGTTTATTTCTTCCTTTCTAGGCGAGTGCAGCTGTCATGAAGGCTATGCCCCTGACCCTGTGCATCGACACCTGTGTGTGCGCAATGACTGGGGACACAGTGAAGGGTGAGTACAAGAAGAAACAAAGCTGGTGAGTGGGGTTGGGGAAAGGGGTCGCCTTCTAGATGAGGCAGAAGCCAAGTTCAAGGACTGGTCCATTCAAGGTTTTGCCTTCCCAAGAATCAGTTCCCTTGTCCAAAGGACATTCAAATGGAGATTCTCAGGGGGCAAAGGTGGAGGTTGTGGCTTTCTCATGAAACATATTGACAGCCCTGCCACACTTCCTGTTCTTCATGCTCTGTTACGTTGTGCAGTTTAGACAGTTTAGTGGTAGATGGGAATGAGTGTCTTTCTGGCATCACCTTGGAACTTAGGCTGCCACCATGCAGCAGCCAAGTGGCAAAGGAAGGTCAAGAAAGGCTATATAAAGCAAGGGAAGACCAAGGGTTCTGATGGCAGTGGAAGCAGCTGTGTGTTTTGAGTGTTGTGAGTCGGATAAGGTAGCAGCAGCTGTACCTAGGGGCATGAGAAAGCTCAGGACTACAGAAGGAAGGAGTTGACCAGAATTCCCCCATAGTTGTGAAAGGGAATAGAGCTGTGAGGTCAGTGAGTAGAGTTGGTATTAATTTTTGGATTCAGGGTGAACAGGTTGGAAGAGGCATCATTTTATAGTCATTGAAGAGTGTTTATTACACTGAAATACACATCTGCATCCTTGTGTCTTGTGGCAGAGGTTTTGTAACTTTCAGATCCTCTCTGTTATTGTACGTTTCTCTAAGCTGGTTATGTCCATCTCCAGCATCTTTGTTGGGATGGCTTGTCCAAGGTTGCTGACTCCTGGTTTCATGAGTGCCTTCCTTCACTGTGTCTCTCAGGCCTTGGCCCTACACAACCCTCGAAAGAGGCTATGACTTAGTTACCGGAGAACAAGCTCCTGAGAAGATACTCAGGTGAGTCGTGCATTGTCTCCAGATCTGGTTTTACGGATTTCCCACTGTCTTTTTTTCTGGATTGGTGGGTGGTTCTGGATGCTCAGCCCATCAAAATTAAGAAGATGCTAGTCTTAAGTTAGTTATCTTGGGACAGTCAGCTACATGAAAAGGAATTCCAGGGTGTTATGCCACTTTGCTGGCTTCCATGAATGATCATGGGTCCCTGTGAAGTATTTTAAATATTTATCTTAGCATTTTTTTCTGATTCAACAAATTGAATCAAACATTTCATTTTTTTTTAAAAAAAGCCATAAAGCCACATACCAGTGTAAAATCAATTGTTAGCATTTAATAGTTTTGGAATGCAACCAGCAACATTTCTGTTTGGGCCCATCGTAACCATACTCAAAAGCAAAACTAACATGCAATAGATTTAACAAAAGTCCTTAGGAAAACAACAGTGCATTAAGGCTTAACAAGATAAGTGCCAGCAAATTGTCAGGAGGAAGTTTCACAAATGAGATGCCAAAACCAAAAAGGCCTTGCCTGAGTGGCATTCACTCACCTGTTTTTCAGGCAAGGGCTCACAGGACAGGTCCTCAGCAAAAAAAGAAGTCTCAGTTGATGAATAGGAAAAAGAGGATGACACTACTGTCATTTTCTGAATCGCAGCTCACTTTGCTTATGTTTTATCTCTTGAACATGTAAACTAAAGAGAGGATGAACTGGATTCATGGAATAACTGCTACTATAAATCAAGGGTGTTAATCTCATTTGTTACGAGGGCTGGATCTGACATAAATGTCATTTTGTTGGGCCAGGCCATGTGTGCCATAAAGCATAATGTTAGGTACCGGAAATAGAAACTGTATAAAGGACAGCAGCTGGTAAGCTCTGAGTTGATGTATCCTCACCGCAGGGCCCCATGGTCTGGGAGGGAGGTGCAGAGGAAACCACACATAGGCAGACCGGAGCAGCAGCAGTGCAGCACGGGGCAGATGCTCCCACGATGCGTGATGGCTGCAGACGAGGTTGTTCTGTGGTGCTGAATCCACAATGGAGTGGCTCCACCCACTCCACATCAGCACTCCCTACCTTGCAGCAGTTGCTTGCGGGCCACATAAGAGCCCTGTACAGGCCAGTTCTGGCCCCTGGGCCTTACGTTTGACACCCCTGCTATAAATTTCCCTTCTGTTGTTCTTGTCTAGCCTGCTCTTTCCCCATCCCTGACCGTTGTTGCCCATCAGAAATGTGTAAATAGCTAACAGGATCAGTGATTCTGTGCTAAAAAAAAGAGTCTCAAGGTGTTGGACCCAGAGAATCCAAAATGTCCAGTGCTTGGCATCATTTGTGCCTTCTGTTCTTTCTTCTGTCTTTTTTTTAAGGTCCACCTACAGCCTGGGTCAAGGCCTCTGGCTTCCTGTGAGCAAGAGCTTTGTTGTTCCTCCTGTGGAGCTTTCGATAAACCCCCTTGCCAGCTGCAAAACAGATGTCCTGGTGACAGAAGACCCAGCAGATGTCAGGTAAGCAGGCAGTCCCTGCACTTTTGAAGGGGGGGGTAGCTGTAGCCCTCAAGAGGCTTGTGAACTGAAGAAAGTTGTGGCACTGAAGTCTTGGAACAGCTTCTGTCTCTGGTCAAAGCATAAAGTGAATTTATCAGTCTCTTACATTACTCAGTGTTAATCTTGATCGTAAGAATATCTTTGAGCTCCTTGTCTCATCCTCTTTGAAATCTCTGTTCATGCTGGAGAATCTAGTCAGTTTTTTAGAATTTGAAGTATAAGAATTCTGATTTTGAATATTTTGAAACTTCATGTACATTCCAAGTTTGCAGTGATCACATAACAAGCAGGCTCAATGGCAGAGAAGGCTGGAGAATGTCCATAAATGAGGCTGTCATCCTTAACCATCTTTCCTGACAGGGATAGGCAGTGGTGTCCTGCCTCATAAGTTAGGTTGAACACCCTCTGCGGAAGCCCCCTAATTACAGATGCTGCAAGAATGAAGGATGTTAGTGAATTTGCATTTCTGTGCTTAAGCTCAGGTGGCTGAGCCAGAAAATTATCTGATCAAAAACATTTTGTGTCTTCTCAACAACATTTAACTTCTTTGAATAACCTCTTCTTGATTCTTCTTTCGGACTGGGAAATTTGGCAGAGCCCACAGCACTGGGGAGTCAGGAAAGGTCCATGGGGAACGCTTGCCTTCATCAAGAAACACCATCCATCCCGATTCAAATTCCTGGTATTAAGAACTGGAGATACCCAGATGCAAAAAAGGAGAACAGTTAAATGGAAGCACCTTTGTGACATGCGTCAGATACTAAATTATTGAAAATTTAATAAACGTGGTAATAAATAATTAATGTTGAATTATGGAAGGCTTTACAAATACACTGGAAACTACAGAGCTATCTATTATATCTGCATTAGAACTTAGACTCTCTTCATATGAGGATCAACATATGATATTTGAGTTTCTGGTAGCTTCTGATTGATGAGGCTGCCAGAATGTGCATTGCTCTTCCCTTTTACTTAGAGAGTTATCTCTGGCACAGTTTATGTTGAGCTGTTAATGGAGGTGTTCCTCAGGAGCTTGGAACCAAGTTTGTTTGTTTTAAAAGTCCCAACTGTCTTCAAACTAAGAGAAGCAAACAAAGGTTCTCCCACAAGTCCCTTCAGCCTCTATCACCACCATTCTTTGAATTACTGAAACCATGGTTGTTGAAGTTGGGCCATACAGGCTATTTCCACCTGGGTTACCCTCCCCAGATATAGTGCTGTTGAGAAGCGTTTTCCCCTGCTTCAGCATTGTGGTACAGTTGTGCACCTACCAGGTTTCCCCGGGTTTTCACCAGTCTTTCTCAAACCTGCTTTGCTGTGAGACACGATGGGGGGGGGTCAACAATGGGAGGGCTTCTAATGTCCTGGCCCCACTGCTGGACCTCCTGATGGCACTGGTATTTCTGGCCACTGTGTGACACAGAGTGTTGGACTGGATGGGCCTTTGGCCTGATCCAACATTGGCGTCTCTTATGTTCTTATGTTCTTATGATGGCTGGTGTGTAGGTAGGAAAGTTTAGGTTTTTCTGCCCAGATGGCAGCCATTTTCCCTGATACAGTCCCCACAGTGGCCGTTTTCTCCCCACACTACCAGGGGGCTTTTAATTGTTTTTTAGTCAGCAGTTGAATATGGTGGTTTTGATACAACACTATAACAATCTTTGTATCAAGTTCCTAAATTCCCACCTTTCATTTTTTTTTCAAAAGTAAGTCTTTAGCTCCCCCTATTACAGAGACAAAAGGGGAAAGGTGTATTTCTGCAACAGAAGAGGGCAGAAATTTCCTTTTTTAAAAAAATGAAAGCTGGGAATACCGAGAATTTGTTATGCCTGGTTATATTATATTGATATAATGATGTTTAATTGACAGTTTAAAAAAGTTTCAGTAGTTGGGGGGGCACTGCCAGAAGACTGGGGTAGAGAAACTGCAGGGAAAACTTTCATGTGGAAGCTGTGTTGTCATGGTACTGTATGGGCATCTTTGCCCACAACAGGGAAACCACATACACCTGTCCCCGTGTACAACCTGCTGCAGTCTGAACCATGCCTGTCTCCTAACATCCAGTTTTAACATTTTAATTGTATACCAGATTTTTAACAAGCGTGCATGCTGACTTTTGGATGAATGATCTGTAAGGAGCTTATAAGAATGCAAGAAACCGTTGTAGCTGCAGTGTGGCACTTGTCTTATCTCTCGTCGGTGGTGTATCTAAGAGAAAAGTGAGAGCAGAAGGGGTTTGATGCGAAGGCCTCTCCCCAGCATTCTGGTGGTGTCCCTCTTCCTCTCCCCCCCCAACTGATTGACACTTGATGCTGGTGAAACTTCTCATCCCATTCAGATGGAACATGGCTCCCTGTTTTTATGAGATCTCCAAGTAAGGTTTCTTGAGCCTAAGCGGCAACATCCACCAAAGTGTGAAGCATCTCTGAGTTCTGTTTCATGGTGCTTGTTTATGCTGTCACTTGAACAGGATGCTGCTACTCAGCCGTGTTGTGACATATTGCATTAGCAGTAATGCCATCTTTGCCCCTTTGTCATGCCGCTAATAGCCATTTTGTTGCCGGTATTTCTTCAGAATCCTTAGTTGCAAGCACAATGTGTTCCTTAAGGCCTCTTATTAGCCCGACACCTTTGCCTGGGGGTCGCTGTTCTCTGAGAGTTTAATGGGGGGAAATTGCCAAGCACCTGCTTTGTGAGAAGCCTTATGAAGTTCTTTATAGCTCTCGGGGTGAAGCCCTCAGCGTGGCCTTGTATCTTAATGAAGACATCTGAGCATAGCATAAAAGTGCATGCAGGGGTGGGGAGAGATGGGAGATCTGCCTTTTAATGCTACTTCAGACAAGGATTCTGTTTTCTAGGCCTGGAGACTTTTACAAGTGATTATTGTTGCATGTGATGGGCTTTTGGATTCTTGTGGCTATGTTAATAGAACTGGTTAAATATGACTCATTAGTGAGTACCTGTTGTGGAAGCATCAGAAGATTATGGTAGGCAAGTGAGCAAATAGTACTTGAAGCAGGTGCAGTGAGTCTCTCCATTACAGGAGGATATGTGGGAACATAATGAAGGCCACTGGTTCTCTGGAAGCAGTTTTTCTTAACCTTAGCAGGCCAGAGGATGCCTGGGAAATGAGCCTGAAGGCTTGTAAAAACTAGAGGACTTGGGCATTGAAATTACTAGCACTAGGGGTTAGCATAAGGTGAGAGCGGATATAGGCTACTGTGAAGGAGCTGCAACTTAGTGGTATAGCATGTGCTTTGTATTCACAGGGTCCCAGGTTCAAACCCCAGCACCTCCAGTTGAAAGGATGCAAAAAGGGAGACCTGCTAACTGGGACAACCTTTTTTGACATGTGAGAGATGCTAAATTATTCAAAATATTAAAATTTGGGGGTCTGTGGCTCAGTGGTAGAGCATCTGTTTGGCATGCAGATCCTTCCAGGTTCAATCCCCAGCACCTCCAGGTGAAACAATCAGGTGACAACATCCTCAGATCCTGGAGAACCGCTGCCTAACTGAGTAGACTATATTGTCTTTGATGTACCATTGCATTTGCTTTGTAAGAAAAAATATATAGATAATGAGGGTAGGGGATTTTTAATAGAAAAACAGCTTGTGAGGAAAGGGTTACCCGACAACTCTAGAAAAGTAAAATGGGGAAAGTGCCCTCAAACAAAGAGTCAAACCTCAAAAGGTTCTAAACAAAACGTGTCTTTGCTAAAGCGCTCCAAATTGCTGTGCCCAACACGTCTCAGGCATTCAATAATCATCTGATGCAAGTTCCTTTTTCTTATTTATTAGTCAGTGTTTTCCTATCGAGACATTTAGTCATTTCTCCTTCCAGCACTGCTGCTGCAATCAATTTCACAACCCTACCATTTTGTATTTTACTTAAAAAATAAGAATAAAGACCAACCGAATGAGTCAGGAGCTTGCTTGTGGATCATATGCACCTTCATCTTAATAGACGAGAGGAGCTCTTCTCTGATAATTTCCTAGTGTCTCTCTTCTTAGTTGCCTGTTATAAGTTCTGAAGTTACTTTTGAATGGATTTTCTGGTGAGAATGTGTCTTTTACCAACAAGTTTGAATCTCTTCAGAGGATCTTTCTACCCACAGCATTGCACAAATGGAACCTACACACAACTTTTGAGTCCAGTGGCACCTTTAAGACCAACAAAGTTTAATTCTGGGTATAAGCTTTTGTTGAACTCAGACTTTGTTCTACACACAACTGTTAGGCATGCATATTCTTTGGTAGTCCAGGGTGGGGGAGCCTTCACTAATGGAAATAGCTCCTCCCTGAAGGCAGTCAGGATCGCCAGCCTTTTTTGGTGATTCCTGGTGGGAAGGGTTTCTTCCTTGACCTCCCAGTTGTGGCCCTCTCTGGCTAGTAGGCAGGTCATCAGCAGCCAGCTTGTTAAAGATCACTGTGAATCCTTTTCTCCACAGCCTTTCCTTACTCTTCTCCCTCCTTGTTTTCTCTTAGGGAGAGCTTCAATGTTCTGCTGCACAAGCTCAGGGCATGTTCACTTTTGATGGAATAGGCCCCCTTTCCCCTCAAAGTTTGCCACCCGGGCAGGGTCGGCCCCAGATTATTTTGCACCCTGAGGATCCCTTCTGGCACACACACCCCCCCCGTGCGGCCACCAATTTTCAAGGCTGGGAGAGGGGTGTGGGGGGAGGGGCCCTGAACTGGTGCCAACCTCCAGCCACGGCCTGGAGACCTCCCGGAATCAGGACCGCTCTCCAGAAGAAAGGGGACGCTTGGGGAGGGTGGTACTGGGGGACATTCTTCCCTGCGGAGCTCCCTCCCCACCACCGCCCACAGATCTCTGGGAAATCCCCAAACTGGAGTTGAGTTGGCAACCGTGGGCTGGGGCGCAGGGGGGGAAGAGATGGGGAATCCAGATGAGAACTGGGGGGGGGGGGGATCAGAAGATTTATTTATTTATTTATTTAT